CATATACGTAGTCTATTATAATATGAAGGGACTATTATATCATGTACGTACTCTATTATACCAGGAAGGGACTATTATATTATGTACATATTCTATTATACTATGAAGGGACTATTATATCATGTACGTACTCTATTATAATATGAAGGGACTATTATATCATGTACGTACTCTATTATACCAGGAAAGGACTATTTTATCATGTACGTACTCTATTATACCAGGAAGGGACTATTATATCATGTACGTACTCTATTATACCAGGAAGGGACTATTATATCATGTACGTACTCTATTATAATATGTAGGGACTATTATATCATGTACGTACTCTATCATACTATGAAGGGACTATTATATCATGTACGTACTCTATTATACTAGGAAAGGACTATTATATCATGTACATATTCTATTATACCAGGAAGGGACTATTATATTATATACGTACTCTATTATAGTATGAAGGGACTATTATATCATGTATGTACTCTATTATAGCGTGAAGGGACTATTATATAATGTACGTACTCTATTATACCAGGAAGGGACTATTATATCATGTACGAACTCTATTATACCAGGAAGGGACTATTATATCATGTACGTACTGTATTATAGCATGAAGGGACTATTATATCATGTTCGTACTCTATTATACCAGGAAAGGACTATTATATCATGTACATACTCTATTCTACCAGAAAGGGACTATTATATCATGTACCTACTCTATTCTACCAGAAAGGGACTATTATATCATGTACGTATTCTCACGAACTGTGCGCTCAGACCCCAGCTATCTACCGAACGTCCATTCGTTTAAATAGAGGGAATATGATGGAAGTTATGCATTTTAATGTAAAATGTCAGTTCTGCTGCACGGAGGGATAATCCACTTAACTGTGTATTCTAGTGGGAGTATCCCTCTCGTGCAGCAGTGCATGATGGGAGAAATATCCGGGTTCTTAAATTCCCCATGTAGTCCCCTACTGTACCACCCCTGGAATGTCAGTAGGGAAACCCCTTGCATGGGGAATCCCATAAAAATGGTGACCTGTGATTAAAAGTGCAGTTGACTCCCAGCTTGTTGTCTAGTTCTTGGGAGGGAAGGATTCCTACCGGGATTATTGTATGCTGTATTTATTTCCTTGGATTATTTTATACTGTTCCTGTTACCCAGCGGAGATACTGTGGATTATACTACCTCTCCGCTACAGTATAATAGAGTACTTATGTGATGGAATACCCCATCACTTGTGTTAGTTCCCTTCGTCGTTCGTATCTGTAACCCCAAACGGATATTCGTGTTCCCCTTTTTATACTCCCGAACTCCAGACCACCCCCTGGCTTATTAACTTCAAAGAAGGTTGTTAACTCAAGTGCTTTCCCTGGGAGGCCGCCATTTCTATCACCGAACACATGTGCTCTTCAAAATGGCAGCCATCTTGTCTGCTGAAAATTGGCAGTGGTACTTTGTCGTTGAGTGCATGAAGCTAGATTCGGACACTACAAATCACGAATCTTAGTGAACCTGTACTGCCGCCTGCTACGCTTACAGATAAGCCAGGAGATCACTCTTTGGGGAAAAGACTCAGTGACCTACGAGGAATATTTGCTACCAAAGAACCAGGGGGAACATTCATCATTTTCTTACAGGACCTCCCGAACGTTTACCGGCCATGGCCTCTTTCTTCCTGGAACTGTTTTGGGCTACGACCTCGTGGCCAGCCAGTCAAAACTTTACCCCGGTGGCGATTCCACTACACCAAACAGATCTGAGCGCTATTTGGACAACTTGGGCGCTCGGATCGGGACTATCCATGAATATAGGATTTGTGAGGTTCCTGTGTAGATGTAATGGGGTTTTGGGGAGTTTTGTGTAAAATGCATGCTCAGGGTCTGTGTATAAATACTGTATGCTTTGGCCGAATAAACCTGATTTACTTCTAACATTAAGTCTCCACTAATGTATGGGGGGAAAGCTATACCACCTATAATCACTGCTGCGATTAGATAGAGCTACTTCACACTAGGAAAGTGAGTCCGTGGCGGCAATACTCTGGTGGTCCGCCACAACTTGCTCTGTACAATAGTCCCTTTATGGTTTTGTAGAGGTACCCACTACCCTTTCTCTGTCACTGTTTGTCATTACTGCTACCACTGACAGGCTATTCCAAGTATCTACTACCCTTTCTATATCAATGTTGGCCTTTACTTCTCCCACTGGAAGGCTATTCCAAGTATCTACTACCCTTTCTATATCACTGTTGGCCTTTACTTCTCCCACTGGAAGGCTATTCCAGGTATCTACTACCCTTCCTATATCACTGTTAGCCTTTACTTGCTTCCACCGGAAGGCTATTCCAGGTATCTACTACCCTTTATGTATGACTAGAATGCTTTTCTCCATTATTCATTAAAGTGAAAACTTTGCTAACTTGGAGTATATTTCTAGTTTGGCTAGATTGACCTTAAATTAGAAATTTCTCTCTAGTAAATACCCCGGTATTGTGTCTCAGTTTATGGAAGTGATGGAGTTGTTACATTATATCTCACTCTCTTGTTTTTTTTTTCTTTTCCTCCCTTCACATTTTCTTCCTCCATCACCCTATTCCTTTCTCATCTCTCCTGCTGCTGTCCTCCCTTATCTAGCCTTTTCTCCTCAGTCTCCATTGATTGCTCTCTTTCCCTGCTACCTTCCCTCTCTCCAATGCTTTCTCTCCCTTTCTCGTACTCCTGCTTCCTACATTTGCACAGGAATCGCAGCCATTAGTGTTAACTCCTCTTACATGTAAATGAAAGTTAATGGAAGCGTGAGCTGCCTGGGACGCTGATCTGAGAGTAATCTCGAGTAATTGGATGGAGATTGGAAAGACTTGGGGCCACCACAGGCAATATATGGCTCCGGCATTCTGAAAGCCCGGGGGGTGGGGGGTCTTCACTAAGTAGAGAACCAGAGAACCATGGTCATTTTAACTGAGTTTAAAATTCTTGCTCTGACCTGCAGTTCAAATTGCAAAACGTGCCCTAAGCCCCCAACTTCTTCCAGTTTATTTACTTATCAATTGTCTTAATTGTATCCTGTGGGATGAGAAGACAGAGGAGCAACTTTTATTTTATTAACATTCAACTTTAAAAATAGAAGTTTCCAAATCTTCCATTTGTCCAAATATGATAAAATAAGAAATAAGATTTATATATGAGAGGAGGGAATGACGGGAGAGGTGAGGAATGGGGATTTATAGAGGAGAGGAAGGAATGACGGGAGAGGTGAGGAATGGGGATTTATAGATGAGAGGAGGGAATGACGGGAGAGGTGAGGAATGGGGATTTATAGATGAGAGGAGGGAATGACGGGAGAGGTGAGGAATGGGGATTTATAGAGGAGAGGAGGGAATGACGGGAGAGGTGAGGAATGGGGATTTATAGAGGAGAGGAGGGAATGACAGGAGAGGTGAGGAATGGGGATTTATATATGAAAGGAGGGAATGACAGGAGAGGTGAGGAATGGGGATTTATAGAGGAGAGGAGGGAATGACGGGAGAGGTGAGGAATGGGGATTTATAGAGGAGAGGAGGGAATGACGGGAGAGGTGAGGAATGGGGATTTATAGAGGAGAGGAGGGAATGACGGGAGAGGTGAGGAATGGGATTATAGAGGAGAGAGGTCAATGGAGAGGTGAGGAATGGGGATTTATAGGATGAGAGGGAGGGAAATGACAGAGAAAGCAGGAATGTAGTACTAAGGGAGAGAGGGAATGACGGAGAGTAAGGGAATGGGGATTTATAGATGAGAGGAGGGAATGACGGGAGAGGTGAGGAATGGGGATTTATAGATGAGAGGAGGGAATGACAGGAGAGGTGAGGAATGGGGATTTATAGATGAGAGGAGGGAATGACGGGAGAGGTGAGGAATGGGGATTTATAGATGAGAGGAGGGAATGACGGGAGAGGTGAGGAATGGGGATTTATAGAGGAGAGGGGGGAATGACGTGAGAGGTGAGGAATGGGGATTTATAGAGGAGAGGGGGGAATGACGGGAGAGGTGAGGAATGGGGATTTATAGATGAGAGGAAGGAATGACGGAAGAGGTGAGGAATGCGGATTTATAGATGAGAGGAGGGAATGACGGGAGAGGTGAGGAATGGGGATTTATAGAGGAGAGGAGGGAATGACGGGAGAGGTGAGGAATGGGGATTTATAGAGGAGAGGAGGGAATGACGGGAGAGGTGAGGAATGGGGATTTATAGAGGAGAGGAAGGAATGACGGGAGAGGTGAGGAATGGGGATTTATAGAGGAGAGAAGGAATGATAAGGAAAGGTGAGGAGTAGGGATTTACAGATGAGGAGAGAGAATTAAAAGGAGAGGTGAGGAGTGGGAGTTTATAAATGAGGAGAGGGAATGATGAGGAGTGGGGATAGATGAGAAGAGAGAATGACAAGGAGAGGTGAGAAGTGAGGATTTATAAATGAGGAGAGGGAATGGTGAGGCGAGGTAAGGAGTGGTGATTTATAAATGAGGGGAGATAATGATGAGGAGAGTTGAGGAGTGGGGGATTGTATACAAAGGATGAAAAATATAGAATTAGTTTGGCATCAGACAGAACTTAATATTCAAGGAGACAGAAGATTTAAAGAGGGAAGAAGAAGGTCTTGAATGGCAGACAGACAGCTGCTTCCTGTTTAGTGATTAGTATTTAATGCAATGTAAACCTCAGAGCATATGGAGGGAATCTGTCTCACGGTTGGGGAGAACTGATTGCACACAGCGACTTTTAGAGAACATGAAACTAATGGGCACATGGCCTGGAATGGAGGGCAGACTAAACAGGGCATTCTGGGGTTAAATTGGGCACAGATGTGCAATTTCAGCATTTTAGGAGGATAACAAGGTGGTCTACAAGTGGATGGGTTGAACTCATACCCCTCACATTGCAGGCAGTCCATGTTGAGAAGGTAATTCACATTGTGTCTTGTGACGATAATGGGCATCATACGATGTGGTTCTGCCATGGGCAGTTTGCAGGGCAGACCAAGCATGTTGGTGCGGTATAGACTGTTAGAACTGGGGGCACTGTCTGTCTAGTAGATAATGGTAATTGTTAAGTTATTTCATTAAGGTTAAGGATTCATAGCTCCACTGCGTATAAATGATATTCGAAATTATGGTCTGAATCAGCCTTAACCCTCCACAATCCCATGTCTGGGATTCTGTGGAACAATGTCTCTTTGCATTCTCTAGAGCCCTGACCCATCTGCCCAAATATGTGGCTTCAGGGGATATGTGGCTTCAGAATGTCAAAAAATTCAGAGTGCTAGTAACATCCCAGGGACCTGATATGCTTAAAGCTATGCCCATTGTTCTCCAGTTATAGTCCATCAGTTTCCAGTCTGTCATTCTCCAGTTACAGCCTTTCATTTTCCAGTTACAGCCCGTCGTTCTCTAGTTAAAGTCCTTCTTTCTCCAGGTACAGTCCTTCATTCTCCAGTTACAGTCCTTCTTTCTCCAGGTACAGTCCTTCATTCTCCAGTTACAGTCCTTCGTTCTCCAGTTTCAGTCCGTCGTTCTCCAATTACAGCCCGTCATTCTCCAGTTATAGTCCATCAGTTTCCAGTCTGTCGTTCTCCAGTTACAGCCTGTTGTTCCTGCCCATCGGTCTTTAGTTACAGCCCATCATTCTCCAGTTACTGCCCGTCATTCTCCAGTTACAGTCCATCGTTCTCCAGTTTCAGTCTGTCATTCTCCAGTTACAGCCCGTCATTCTCCAGTTACAGTCTGTCGTTCTCCAGTTAAAGTCCTTCGTTCTCCAGGTACAGTCCGTCATTCTCCAGGTACAGTCCATCATTCTCCAGTTTCAGTCCGTCGTTCTCCAGTTACAGTCCACCGTTCTCCAGTTACAGCCCTTCAATCTCCAGTTTCAGTCCGTCGTTCTCCAGTTACAGTCCATCGTTCTCCAGTTTGAGTCCGTCGTTCTCCAGTTATAGCAAGTCGTTCTCCAGCTTCAGTCCGTCGTTCTCCAGTTAAAGCCCGTCGTTCTCCAGTTAAAGCCCGTCGTTCTCCAGTTTCAGTCCATCGTTCTCCAGTTAAAGCCCGTCGTTCTCCAGTTTCAGTCCGTCGTTCTCCAGTTAAAGCCCGTCATTCTCCAGTTAAAGCCTGTCGCTCTCCAGTTACAGCTCGTCGTTCTTCAGTTACAGCTCCTTGTTCTCCAGTTACAGCTTGGATAAGTTTAATTAGGCCTTTATAAAGGTCAGAATATTACAATATTTAAATGGTAAAAACTTTGGAGAAAAATTCTGTGCATTTTAAAGAAAACATTGCTGCTGTTTTTGGAATATTTTGAATGGTTTTGAAGATTTGGTTAAGTTCTGTGTTTTGTACTGAGGTTTCAGTGACAGAGATTTGTTTTATTTAAATGAAAATCACCAGTTTTATCTGAAGCCACAATCACTGATCTGTCCTGGGATACACAGCGCGTTCTTCAGACAGGAGATTACACGATGGGACGTATCCTTTCCAGTGGTTTCGTCACTTACATCCAGTCACACATTCTGATTTCACATGCAGTAATTTAGTACAGTATTAATAATGAGTTTTATGGATAATCTGTGCAATAGAATTGATTTCTGTAAAATGTAATAATTCCACACAGAGCTCCTTGGACTATGCATCGTCCAATAACCACCTTGCAATAACTGTTACGTTGCAGTGGAACATAAAAAAAAGATTAATAACACTTTTTAAGATTAATTGTGAAAATATATATTTTCCTTCATTGTTTATATTTTAACACAAAGACCCTCCCAATAACATGAACAAACGGCCAAACATTTGTTTTTCTGTTGCTTTTAAATTTGGTCTACAAAGCTCTGCTTACCTTCACTGTTGATCCAGGTCTGGTTCTCTGGAAGTTAACTTATCTGTAGATGTACGGTAAATGGTTTAACAGTAACTTTTGTAGGCTAAAATTAGTCAGCAGTCTAGCAGCCGGGAAAGGGAGAGGGCTCTGTGCACACTGAATATACAGACATTGTTTGTGCGTGCTGCTGGTATTTTTAGGAATGCATATTTCCATAAATCACTGCAGAAATATCCATAAAGCAGAATCTTTATTCTTGTTTACTCTTGTCGCAATCCGTGGATATGATGAAAATGTTATTTCTGCTTCGAACACTGTCTCAATGATAAGAGATACTGTCTAAACGCTAAAACTCTTTATCCCCCAAATATTCTGCAGAGGTTGAATGAATTATCGTTTAAAATATTTTTTAATATCTCTGCACAACAGTTAACGAACACGAGTTGTCTCTTTCTATTTGTGTGCTAGCGTTGCATCTCATGTTTCCAATAAATATTTCGATACTTTTTTTTCCAATACATTGATAGTCAAAGGGTTAAATGAACCCCTTTGTTCTTTGGCTTCAGTTTTTTTTTCCTGCACAGAGTGCCTTTCATATTTACCTTTGATATTGAACGGGATGTTGATCACTTGTGATTCTGACATTTCCGACCTTTCCTCCAAGGAGAATTTCTCCAGTTCACACATTTCGTGGGGTTTAAACGTGTACAACACACTCACTCTGTATGAGTCAGAACCAAGGGAGTTTGATCCCTGACAGGGGTAGCTCAGCTTTTTAATTCCTTCCTAGGTTAATGAAATAAGTACCAGTGAATTGGGTAATATTAACATGTGTACCCCAAGGCAAAGAGAGACTAGAAAACTAGGGGTGGTATTAATAATTATAAATTGCGAAAGTTTTACCATATATTTTATTATTTTCATTTGTTTTACTATTATTAAATGTATCAATATCAGGATTTTAGTTTACTAGCTAAATCACCAGCTTCCCAATAGACATATTTATCTCCACATGCTTGCATACTGTGTGGTTCTTCTTCAACCAATCTCACATTCTCTGGCTACACTTACTCTACAACTCAATTTTCCAGCTATACATTCACACCCCCACTCACCAGCTCTACATTCACACACCCACTCAGCTCTACATTTGCACCCTACTCCTCAGCGATACATTCACACCCTACTCCTCAGCTCTACATTCACACCCCACTCCTCAGCTCTACATTCACACTCCACTTCCCAGCTATAAATTCACATCCCGACTCACCAGCTATACATTCACATTCCCACTCCTCAGCTCTACATTTACACCCCACTCCCTAGTTATACATTCACACCTGTAGTCCCCAGCTCTACATTCACACCCCACTCCTCAGTACTACATTCACACCCTACTCCTCAGTGATACATTCACACCCCACTCCTCAGCGCTACATTCACACCCCACTCCCTAGTTATACATTCACACCCATAGTCCCCAGCTCTACATTCACCCCCCCACTCCTCAGCTCTAATTTGCACCCCACTTACCAGCTATATATTCACATCCCCACTCACCAGCTATACATTCACATTCCCACTCCTCAGCTCTACATTCACACCCCACTTCCCAGCTATATATTCACATTCCCACTCCTCAGCGCTACATTCACACCCCACTCCCTAGTTATACATTCACACCTGTAGTCCCCAGCTCTACATTCACACCCCACTCCTCAGTGCTACATTCACACCCCACTCCCTAGTTATACATTCACACCCATAGTCCCCAGCTCTACATTCAACCCCCCACTCCTCAGCTCTAATTCACACCCCACTTACCAGCTATATATTCACATCCCCACTCACCAGCTATACCTTCACATTCTCACTCCCCAGCTCTACATTCACACCCTACTCCTCAGCGATACATTCACACCCCACTCCTCAGTGATACATTCACACCCCACTCCCTAGTACCCAGCTTTACATTCACCCCCCACTCCTCAGCTCTAATTCTCACCCCACTTACCAGCTATATATTCACATCCCCACTCACCAGCTATACATTCACATTCCCACTCCTCAGCTCTACATTTACACCCCACTCCCTAGTTATACATTCACACCTACAGTCCCCAGCTCTACATTCACACCCCACTTCCCAGCTATATATTCACATTCCCACTCCTCAGCGCTACATTCACACCCCACTCCCTAGTTATACATTCACACCTGTAGTCCCCAGCTCTACATTCACACCCTACTCCTCAGCTCTACATTCACACCCCACTCCTCAGGGCTACATTCACACCCCGCACCCTAGTTATACATTCACACCCATAGTCCCCAGCTCTACATTCAACCCCCCACTCCTCAGCTTTACATTCACACCCCACTTACCAGCTATATATTCACATCCCCACTCACCAGCTATACATTCACATTCCCACTCCTCAGCTCTACATTCACACCCCACTTCCCAGCTATATATTCACATTCCCACTCCTCAGCGCTACATTCACACCCCACTCCCTAGTTATACATTCACACCTGTAGTCCCCAGCTCTACATTCACACCCCACTCCTCAGGGCTACATTCACACCCCACTCCCTAGTTATACATTCACACCCATAGTCCCCAGCTCTACATTCACCCCCCCCACTCCTCAGCTCTAATTCACACCCCACTTACCAGCTATATATTCACATCCCCAGTCACAAGCTATACATTCACATTCCCACTCCTCAGCTCTACATTCACACCCCACTCCCTAGTTATACATTCACACCTGTAGTCCCCAGCTCTACATTCACACCCTACTCCTCAGCGATACATTCACACCCCACTCACAAGCTATACATTCACATTCCCACTCTTCAGCTCTACATTCACACCCCACTCCCTAGTTATACATTCACACCTGTAGTCCCCAGCTCTACATTCACACCCTACTCCTCAGCGATACATTCACACCCCACTCCTCAGTGATACATTCACACCCCACTCCCTAGTTATACATTCACACCCATAGTCCCCAGCTTTACATTCAACCCCCCACTCCTCAGCTCTAATTCACACCCCACTTACCAGCTATATATTCACATCCCCACTCACAAGCTATACATTCACATTCCCACTCTTCAGCTCTACATTCACACCCCACTCCCTAGTTATACATTCACACCTGTAGTCCCCAGCTCTACATTCACACCCTACTCCTCAGCGATACATTCACACCCCACTCCTCAGTGATACATTCACACCCCACTCCCTAGTTATACATTCACACCCATAGTCCCCAGCTTTACATTCAACCCCCCACTCCTCAGCTCTAATTCACACCCCACTTACCAGCTATATATTCACATCCCCACTCACAAGCTATACATTCACATTCCCACTCTTCAGCTTTACATTCACACCCCACTTCCCAGCTATATATTTACATCCCCACTCACCAGATATACATTCACATTCCCACTCCTCAGCTCTGCATTCACACCCTACTCCCTAGTTATATATTCACACCACCACTCCCAAGCTATACATTCACTCGCCAACTCTCCAACTATACATTCACACCCCCACTCCCCAGCTAACTCCACTGCCAAACTTACATCTATTCTGTTTAAGCAGACACTTTCACAACAACCACTTCTTTACCTTTTCGTCCAACCCTTCACACTTCATCTTAGATCTACCATCTTCTCATCTTACCTCACCATCAACTCTTCTACACACCAAAGGCTCTTTTAGCATCCCAGAATATATGATGTCCCCCACCAATGACAACAACAATAAGACACCAATAACTCAAACAGACAAACAAGATCTGAGTCACAGAAAGGACTTTAATCCACCCTCAGCACCCACCAGCGTCTCTCCGCCATGGTATATGTAATGGGGAGTAGGAGATGGGGAAGGTTGACACAGGTTTTTAATGTAAAAACTTGTGTTGTACATTTTAATATAATTTAATTCCTCCCCCCCAAGTCCTAGCAAGGCTCCTGACTTTACGGACTCAGAAAGGATCCAGGCCAGCTAGATGTGAAAGCAGACATCTTGTCAGACGTGTGTCTGTAAGCACTTTCTCCGTTTCGCAGGAAGGGTTTGTACAGTAGTTTTGGGTATCGTGTCGTTTGTGCATATGTCCAGTTTTCCCCAAATAAACCAGCATGTTCAACCTTAACCTCCGCTCAGGGACTCAGACCCAGGCTCTGAGGTACAAGAGGGTGCCTTGGTCAGGGTGGTGCTCAGCACCCATGTGCTGGTCTCACGCATGGTTTAAGGCACTGCTTCACGGGCTCAGCATTTCTCAACCATAACCCTGAAACCCAACCAGAACAACAGCCCTCTTTTTCTCCAAACCAGAGGAGGAAGGATTTACAGGAGGCAAGTAAGT